AAATTTTCGGAGTAATCACTGCAATTTTCATGGCAATTCCATCTTCATGCAGAAAGAACCCGGCGGTGGGCAAGGGAGTCACTCAACGGTATGACCCATGCGGAGATCGACCACATTCTCACCAACCGTAGGTGGTGCTTAGTGGACGTCTCAGTGGTACCATCCTTCAGCAGTGGTTCAAATCACCGCCTCCTTCTAGCAAAAGTGCGATATACCGAAAAAGAAAATCGTTACCGTGTTGGAGGAAGAAGAGAAGTCGTATATGACGGCGGCAGATTGGAGGAGCTCCTGATCACTTGTGCCTGGCCCATCGAGGAGGATCCAACGGAAGACTACGACCTGCTTCTCAGGACGAGGGCCTGTGTCGAAAGTGCCTCGATACCTCGGACAAGGAACTTGGAACAAATATCGAAAGCCACCAAGGATCTGCTAGAGAGGAGGAGAGCACTGAGGCTGGATCAGACTGCACGACATCTCGAGCAACTGGTAGCCAATATCAATAGCAGAACAGCTTGCAAAAAGATCTTCGAAAGTACAGGCAATTGAAACTTCCAGAAGCAGCACAAGGAAGGAGAAGTCTAAAAAAGTACCACCCTCTTGACTATAGTTCCACTGACACGTTACTCAACAAAGACGGGACTCCACATCTTCCCGACAAAAGATGGAGTCGATCACGAAGAGATATTACACCAATATATTTCGTTTTATTACACCAATGTATTTTGCTTCACCCATGTAGCCCTGTTATTCCCACTGGAGAAATGCCGCCGTGGCTTCCACTTGCTGAAATACGTGCCGCAATCCAGTGAAGACAGCCACGGCTCCGGGAACGGACCACTCTTCGGCCGACCTTGTAAGCTGGAGGACCCTACACGAGATACTTGCGGAACATCTAACGTCTTACCTTCAAAGGAAAGGATCCCCGACCAGTGGAGTACCTCCCGAACAATCCTGCTTCATAAAAAGGCAATAGGGAGATCGGAACTACCGTTTAATATTGCTAAGCGTGCT